CGATTCTCGTTTTTCAAAATATTGTTCGTATGGATTTTATGGCCTTCTCTCACTGTGTGTGTGTGTGTGCGTGGCTGTCTGTGTGTGTGGGTGCATTTGTGTCTGGGTATGGGAAGGAAAGCGCCTTTTTATGAACACTTGAACGTATTCAAGTTCGCAGCGTGTTTTGAATGTGTTTTGGGTGCTTCACACACACACACACACACACACACGCCCACACAGGCAGACACAACGGACGAAGCACAGACAAGTGGCAAATGCATTTTATTCACTGCATATTTTATTCAACAAAAATTTGCAGCATAGCTGAAGTCAAGTGTAACGAATCATCTTTGAATGGTTGCATCAAATTGGGAGAGTACTCTCCGATCTTTATATCTTTATATCTGAACAAGAATGGAGTGAGTGCATCTGGTGCTGGGCTTTTATCATTCTGGCATACTTTCTAAATAACTAAATCTTATTACATTTATCAAGCATCCAATCAATATTGTGATGGCCAAAACGGTATTCAGACTGTGAATAAAAAATAATCAAAAATATAGCAGAGCTTAAAATGCAGCTATAAAATACACAAATTTATGGGAGCTGCCCTAATGAAAAGCTCTGGCAGAGGCATCAACAATCGAGCAGGCAATGTAGCAGGAGGCGGCAGCATGCAGCAGAGGGCGGCTTGAGCAAACCGAATTTCATGCTTAAGCTCTGTAAAATTAACATTTAATTGAAGCCTACATTTCGCCGCTGCGGGCTCTGCGCAATATTAACGAAAAATTTCACTTGCTCCTGCTGCCGGGATGAGGATGCGAGGCGAGTGCAAATCCCAAGCAGACAAGACAACTGCACGGCCCGACTGGGTGCATGTTTTGATAGCGTAAATTATGTTATAAAATTTATTTAATTTCACTTTTGCTGCTGCTTCTGCCGCTGAACGTTTCTGTTGCTGTTGTTATTGCCGCCTCTGCACGCCGGGCCCCAAGTGGGCGCCTGGCATGCACACCCCAGAGATTTGGAGACGGGCCCCGTAACGCAAGCCACAGCTGATGTGGAATGCACACATGCTTCACATGAGCATAGCAACGGACAAGCGACGCAGGCAGGAGCAGGCGGGCACCGCCCGGTCTCTAGGGTATTTGCGAATTGTGCAGGGTTTCGCAGCGCCAACCATTGCTGGCTGGCTTCGCGTGTCCTGCGCGCATATTTATGTGCCAACAGAAACATGCAAACATTCCTGTTGGCATTGGCCAAAAATGAAATGGAAAGCGCGACCAGGTGAACATACAGTGAAATACACACACGCACACACTCACACACACACACGCACACTGATACACTCACACCCACTCCTACACACATGCATTGGCAATTCTTAACTGCAGTCCTTAATCTCTCTGCCGGCAGCTAGAGAGGAGAGCGTGAGCACAGAGAGTGAGTCAAGTTTGCTGTTGAGTGAGAGTAGGAGATAAATATCTTGTAGAGAGTCTTCACTGTAATATATTTATTTACACATTCCAAAGAGCTTTTAGTGCACTACAAATGTATCTCCCCTATATTATCTATAGCAATCATATTATCGCCGATCAACTTTGCCTTTGCATCCCAAGAATTTTAATGTGATACTTTGGGCACGTGGGCCACATATCGCCTTCTATGCAATACTATCGTGACGTTAGACTCACGGTGACGGCGCTCATCTCTGCGCCATGACAATCTCTTATCCCCATCGGGTAATGTCATGTTGCTGGGGTGCTCGCAGCTTAAACGACTCGGGGGCTCGCCTTAAATAATTAAACACCAATGACACTTAAACGTAAATCATGAATTTTGCAAGGGTTCGTCCAGGGCCACGTGCCGAGCACAGAGACTAACTGTTACAGAGACTAACTGCTGCTATTGCTGTTGCTACTACTCCAGCTCGATAAGTCATTTGGCAAGTCCATATGGAGTGCAGGTTGGGTGGGCGGCTAGTGGGCAAAGGCCGGTCCGCCTGACCGTTAACAAAGACGGAAAATGTCAACGCCGCCGGAAACAACACCCAAAAAATTACTGTTGCAAAATGCTGTACAAGTTTCCGCTTCGACTTTGTGCTTCCTACGACGGCAGCAGCAACTGCAACAAATCCCCAGCTGCTTCAGCTATGACATTCCAGCAGCAGCAACAACAACAGCAACAGCAACAATGACAGCACAATGGCAACAACTATGTGTAGACAACAATTTGTTGCCGTAGACAAAGGCAAAGTCAATGTCGTCAGAGTTGTCAACGCTGTTTAAAGTTGCCTTAATTGCAGTTGTTGCTGCTGTTGTCGCTGCTGTTGTTGTTTTTACTTCGATGTCTGTTGTTTTTGCTGTTGTTCATATTGGTGATGTTGCTGGTAAAGGTGGTATTGCTGTTGTCAGTGATGTTGCTGGTATTGCTGCTGCTGCTGGTGGTGTTGATGCTGCTGTTGTTGTTGCTGCTGCTGTTGCTGTTGCTGCTGTAGCTGCTACTGTTGCTGTTGCTGCTGCTGCTGTTGCTGCTGCTGCTGTTGCTGCTGCTGCTGTTGCT